ATAATAATAATAATAATAATAATAATAATAATAATAATAATAATAATCGTCTTAATAACAGAAAAAATAAAAAATGTATTACTGAACTATTGAGGAGTCGGAAATATATATCAACTAAAAACTAGTACTTAAACTTTTTTTTTGTGTAAGTATAAAATACATGTTTCAATTTTAAAAATAGTAATGCAAACGTAAGATTATTTATAGTTGTTCAATATACGAAAGATTAATCATTTATATCGATTGATAGGTCACATCCACACATTTCACATTCAATGCAATTCAAATACAATTAATATATTACATAATAAATACATTTGTGCTTCTTTATCAATGATCAGTTGGCAGTTTTATTGATTTTAATTTATATTTAGAGTAACAAGGCCATATCAAATTTACCTATATATCAGTATCCAAACCATAAAATTAATTATGGAGACATGCCGATCGAACCATCTTGTTGGACAAAGTAAAATTAATTTTGTTATCTGAGATCCAGGACAAACACGTTTTATTGTTTCTAACGTTTAGGGTATTTATTAAACACGCATACTTTTTGTATGGTGCCAGTACAGTTTCGTATGGATTTAATATAACATGTACCTATCAGATATTGCCAAATTTAAACAATATGAGGTGCAATGAATGTAGTAAGCAAGTAGATATTTTTTGTAATAGTTTTTGATTTTCTTTTCTGACTATGTATAGTATCAATAGTAATTACTAACTAATAAAAAATGTACAGTAAACAGTTAACATACCAACCCACTAGTAGACTACATCAGTAGAAAACACTCATTACTGAAAGGTACAACGTCTCTAACTCTTAGCAGCACTATGTTATCACTGCAACACTGTATCATACAATCAAAACTAGGTAATAAGTTATCACAGCATTCTACAATCAATACTGATATCTTTAAGTACTGGACAATAGCACTACACGATATAAAGCCATTTGCTCGCCAAAAAGCCATTATAAAATTTAAACTGATTATTTAAAATAATTCTCATCATATATAAATCATAGATTATAAAGTCACCTTCACTAATTAAATAAAATAAAATAAAACTCTCTACCCAAAGCTAGAGGGTATCCATATTGGTGGATCATGGTGGAAAACCATTTAACGTTATATTCCTAATATTATAAAATTTATTTATTGTAATGAATATAAATATTACAGATTATAAATACTCCATGTTATCAAATAATAAAAAAAAAAGAATCGATGAAAAAAATAAAAATAAATAATAAAGACATTGGTAGGACAATAACGTCCTCTTTTTTTAGGCCAAGGGAGGGGTTGAAAACCTAAAACTCCCCAGGCTACGACACTGCTCGTAGGTAAGATGGTCAGAAATTTAAAACAATATTTATAAGAAATGGAAAATAAAAAAATATAATCTGATGGTTTCCAAATGTTTCAATTCAAAATAAATTATCCTATTATGTAGGTATACAATAAAAAAAATCTTATTTAAATCAAGTAATATCAGCATGAATAATAACAAATAGTAATTAAAATAACAAAATAAAAAAATATTAAACAATAATAGTTTATTATAATTATTTTAATTTCATAATTAATTAAAAAAAAACCAAATAATAACTTATACAATGAATATTTTATTAATTATAAATATATACCTACATTAATGAAATATTTATTTATGAAATTTTATAATTTGTATAAAATTCCTTGAAATTTTTTTTTTATATCAATGGAGTTCGGATATATTCTTATCATAAATACGTATACGTAGTTTCACAATATATTAATACAATAGACTCATGGAATATTTCTTGGATATGAAGTGAAAGGCTGCTTTATGCAAGCCTAACACTTCTCCGTTTTTTAACTAAATCGGCTCGTATGTCCAATATATTATTGTACGACGGGCCAGTGACATATACAGAAAATATTTTCGGGAGGGTCTATTATTGACAGAGTTAAATTTTCATTGTTATCTAAGAATTACTAACAAGACACAATAGGTATTTATCTACATTTCATTTATAGAATTTCTCAAAAATATTTGACAAAGGCAATAAAAATTGTCTCAACTGATCACATAATTTACGTATTTCCTATAGTAACTATAATTCTAAATTTATGAATAAAGGATATATGACGTGGTACTTGACTATTTGATATATATGTCTACTGGATTATATCTATAATGAAATATGCTACGAATAAAATGTATTATACTATTATAATTTATTTATTTATGATATAATTAACTCTTAATAATAAGCATTGAACCATAAATTGAGAACCTTAAAACATTTTAATGAACTATTGAAGTACAATTGAATAAAATAAATACAACCCGGTTAAAATAATTTTTCTATTTTTTTTTTTATAAAATTATTTCTAAATAAGCATAAAGTAGGTACCATTAAAATATAATAAACGCTTAAAGTAATTTTGTAATTTTTAAGTTTTTCGAAACATTTTTTTGGGGGGGGGGGGTTGTAACCCACTTGTCACTCTCCCTATACATGCCATTGCGGTGGGGAGAGATACAGCTCACAATATCAACATTCAATTATACCGTGTAGAACAATAGTTGACATATAACCATCTTAGTAAAAGTATCTTATAATCCGAATAAAATCAAGTTCGTCGTGTGCAGTAGCGGCCTGGCTAAATCGGCGAGATGGAGATCGCTGAATGGGCCCCCTTCTAATAAGGCCCCTTGAACAAAGTCGGATTATTGGGATTTGGAGATTAAAAAAAAAATATTTTTATAAAATATAATAATCCATATCATATATATATATATATATATATATAACATGTCCATTATTATCTATTTTCAGTAATCTAAGATTATTAAAAAAATAATTTAAAATATATTTGTGGAGAAGAAAGTATCCTAGGAAACCTATATATTATTGTTTTGCATTTTTATTTTAATTATATAGTTTCTAAGGCAATTAGAGAAAAATAATTTGTAAAAAAGGTTAAGCATAAAATTGGATATCTTGAAAAAAAAACAAAAATTTGAATTTAATTAATTTTTATTTATGAAAAACTAATATCATAATTATTTTATGAAATTGCTTAGAACATTAAAAAAATATTATTGTTAAGTACAAATGTTATAATTTTTACTTTAAATATTTTATTTAAAAAGAACTGAACAGACAAAAATTTACTTATCGTTATAGTATACAAACTGAATAATAAAATGTATTGAAAATAATATTATTCGATTACATGTATACTAATTTGATTTGCATTAAATCATTTAAGATGAAATACTATTTTGGTTGTGTAAGATCTGCTTTAAATATATAAGCTAAACATAATTAATTAGGTGAAGTGTAAAATTATGAATTTTAAACGAAGGCATCATGCGAATAAAATTAATATACCTATAAATCAAACAGATATTAGTTATTTTTGTTTGAGTAGTCATCAACATCTTCATTAATTAATCTGATAGGAGATTCTTTAGTTCTCTGTATAGTATTGTAGCTCTATAAAATCATCAAAATAACGTGACTCAATTAATATTCATATTCTTAGTAGAAAAAAATTAAAAATACAATTCTAATTACCTCAGCAGCTATACTATGTAGGAAATTTGCTGTATCCCTATCGGTTTTTTCCACCATTTTATACAAAAATCCATCCTTGATTTTCAACAAAATATGAGGATGATCAAATTCAACCATTTTACCAGCATCCATTACAAGCACTTTGTCAGAATCCATAACGGTATTCAAACGATGGGCAATAGTTAAGACAGTACACTTTCGGAATTTACTTCTAATTGTATTCTGAATCAATGCTTCAGTCCTAGAAAAAAAACATTCATTATAATAATAATTATGATTAACATAATGTTTTAAGCATTTATTACTGTGGATCGACATTAGCAGTAGCTTCATCCATCACAAGAATCTTATTATTTCGCACTATAGCTCTAGCCAAACACACCAGTTGTCTTTGACCAACACTGAAGTTAGATCCACCCTCTGACATTTTTGAGTGCAATCCACCGGGTAAATCTTCAATAACATCTTTTAGTTCCACCTAATAAAACAATAATCATTGATTCCTCTGTTATAAAATTGTAAATAATTATGTATAGTTATATTAAGAAATCATAAGCATTTACCTCATCTAAAGCATTCCAAAGAGCAAGGTCTGGATATTCATCGAAAGGATCTAAATTCTTTCGCATCGTTCCAGTAAACAAAACTGGTTCCTGTGGTATAATGGAAATTTTGGAACGCAATTCGTGTAGTCCTAATTCATTGATATCCAGATCATCAACATAAATGGAACCTTCATTCAGAGCCAATCTAAATAATGCTCCAATTAAGGATGATTTTCCAGCACCAGTCCTACCAACGATTCCTACCTATAATACATTTTTGATAAAACCAATATAAAAATTATAAAATTGGTTTTAAAATACTTTTTCCGTTGATTCAATTTTAATGTTAAGATTTTTTAATACATGTGGAGTGTCTGGGCTATAACGTAAATTAAAGTTTTTAAAAACAACCTGCCCTTTTTGAGGCAATTCTTTTGGTGGTTTTTTATCTAAAAAAATTGTTTAAATTTAAAAGATATTATATATAAAATAATTTATTAAATATTACCTAGAGGAGATTCAAGAGCAGATTCTTGAGGAACATTTGTATATTCTAGTACTCTTTCGACTGATGTCATCTGGTTTTCTAATTCTGCTGTTTGTTTCATTGCCCATTGGATCATACCAGTTAATCCCATTGTTTGAGTTATAGCCAGGCCAACATTTCCACCATAAGTATCTGATATGATATAAAACAAGTAGTATCAAATACTTAATAGAATAAAATATTATAAAATAATTTTATTTATTTATTTTTTTGTCAAACTTACTATTGTCAATAAGAAGAAAGCTAAATATTACACAACTGTACATGATAAGGCAAATAACATCCAACCAAAAACCAAACGCTCTACTAGATGTTATGTACAAATACCACGCCGAAGAATTTAAATCCTTAAATATAAAATAATTTGAAGTACCTATTATAAATGTATAATTTTTTTCTTACTTGATGGTTATCAAATTCATTAGACAAAACGTGTTCTACTTCAAATGCCCTTATAGTTGTTAAACCTTGTAGAGATGCTTTTAAATGATCAAACATAGGACTTTTTGCTATTTAAGTTAAAATAATATACTTTAAAACATAAATATATAATAAATTTACGTTATATAATTAAAATACTATTTTATGCTTACTAATTCCATCCAATCGTTTGATACTTCGAGAAGTTGACAAATAGAAAACTCTAAGATTGTAAAATATTATTCTAATGATGAATATTGGGATCATTAGATAAATATTAATAATTCCAATCACAATAGTTATTCCCAATAATCTCAGCCCAATCTATTTAATAACATGCACATGAGTATGTGTATTTTTCAATCAAATATAAAATATGATTCTATGTGTCAAATATTACTTGTATACAATCCATGAAAACAAATGGTAACATATTATCTATTGTACCCATGTCTTTAGAAAATCGGTTTAGAATTCGCCCTATTAAGTAGATAAAAAAATTATTAGAGATTAATACATGGCTAAAAAAATATTATAATTTTTAATATATTTACCAGATGAATTTGTGTTAAAGAAATACATTGTAGCTCTCGTTATAGCATTAAACATATTATTATGTAAATTCATTGATGTTTTCATACTAACTGATACTAACGTGACAGCTCTTAAGAACGCAGATAATATTATAGAAAATATGAAAACTACAAAAACGATAATACATGTTTGTCGTGAAATGTTCCACCACAAAAAGGTACCAGATATTTCTTCCGTTGTTGTAATACTATTATTCGTATATGTATTTGTACCAATAACTACAGTTGTTAATTTATTTATTTCTACAATATGTGCATGTTGAAAAACGTGTTCTTCTAGATTGACCCTAAATAAATAATTGTAAATTACAAAAATGTTAATTCGAATATATGTATTAAACAATACCAAAATGTTATCCAACATTCTTCACCAGTAATCAAAATTTGAGTGAAAATATAAATAAATAGTAAAAATGTTTTAATAAAAACATTTCCTCCAGCAGAGTAATATGATGAATACACAGTAAATGAAATATTCCCAGATGAACGAGTTTCAGCTACTTCAATTGGTTCTTCTTGAATACCACCGTACTGTTTAGGATCATCATTGGACGATGCCACACATTGAACAGAATCTTGCCGTAATAAAATCGACTTTGGATTTATATAACTTGAATTTGTAAATTTAATAGATTCGTTTTCGAAGATATCAGTTGTCTCTGCAGAAGAATTGATTAACTTTGTGAAGTCCAAGTCAGATGCTTGAAGTTCATCATACGAGCCTTCAGCTAAAATATTCCCCTAATAAAACAAATGTACACTACAACTATAAATTATATTTCATAATTTCTAATAAAATTTATTTATTGATCACTACAAACGAATACAATTCATTAGAAACATAAGGAGGGTATAGTTGCACAATGTGAATTTTGAATATTCCAACATAAATTAGTTAACAAAATATTTGTATAATATAGAGATATTTAATGATATTGTCAAAAACATTTTAAAATAAAAAAACTTAAAATTATACATAATAACCTTTGGATAAAAATATTATATAATTTGCAATATGCTCATATTTTATTACTGAATTAATCCAAATTAAATTATTTTTTTTTGTACTAAAATTCGGCATGATACGTCGAGCTTCTAGTCTATTTTTAACAAATCTTCTTTCAGTTTCACAAATAGCAACACTAGCTTCAGTGACTAATTTTATACACTTTTCGACTGATTGAGTGTGGCAGGGTATCTGAGAAAATTTATCCAAAATTTCACTGTGTATTAGAACCACGTCACTTATTGTTAATTATTGTTTCCGTATTTACTAGTTTTCTAAGTAGAGGCTCAGTTATAAAACTCCCTAATCAATTAAATTTACACAATCTTCAGCATCAATCGCTAAAAATGAAATACCATGCTACATTAGCGACGATCCTTAAGACTACAGATATTTAGTTTATTTGAAAATTCAATAAAAACTGAGATACACTCATTCTCGTAAAAAAATGAATCATATTAAATATTGGCATATTTGTGAGTTAAAATTAATAATAATTAATTATTGTAATATTAGTAGGTTTTTTAAAAGTAGTGAATAATCTTTAGCAATCCCTCATGCGTGCCAAGGCTAGAACTATTTATATAATTGTTCGTTACAACAAACCAAAATAAATTCATAAAATACTTATAACTTATACTTACATTTTCCATTAAAATGATTTTATCAACTTTAGTTAGGTATTGTAGTTGGTGAGTAATAAGAATACAAGTCTGTTCTTTGAGATAACCTTAACAAATTTTTATTTACTGTTAATAATGCAACTAATCAAATTTATTACAACATTACCTTTTATGCATTTTTCAAATAAATGTTTCCCAACGTGTGTATCAACAGCAGATAGAGGATCATCCAATAAATAAATATCAGCTTGTCTATAAATAGCTCTGAAATTAAATATTTAACATAACTAAAAATTTTTTAACCCAAAGTTAAGAATTAGATTTCTTACATACAATTTTAAAATATTCAGTAATTGAATACCGAATATTTCCCACAAAAAAAATATGTATATAATTAAAATTAAATAAAATCTGTATAATATAAATACAATAAATAATTGTGATAACATTTAATCAGGATGGACGGTTTGACGGAAGGGAGAATCCATTGACACTACTTCTAATATGAACTATATTTTATTTTTGACCTACATAATAAACTTAATTATTATATTATATAAATTTAAAATTAATTAATTATAAGATCACATGGCCACTTTCGTTTGTGACGACGGAGAGGATTGTCTGGTAGAGTGTTAGTTGCTAGCTTGGCAGCTAGAGGATAAGGGTGATTTAGGATATTTTTGTGAAATGTATTATAATTATACAACGCCAGTGCAGATAACGTTGGAACGTTAAGATCATGATGTAGGGATCTGTTAGTTACCATACATACCATGGAACATTAATGAAGACAAAGGTTTATTGATTGGAATGCTTGGAATATTTTTAAGTTGGAGATTTTTGTACAGCCCCATAATTGAATGCCATACGTCATTGCAGGGCGTATCAATGGTTTGTAAATTAACATTTTGTTTTCCAGTGAAATTTTTGAGCGGAGTTGCCTTGGCTTGTTCAGACGAATATTTAAAAATTTTCGTTTTGTTTTTATATGAGTTGCCCAGGTCAGTCTTTTGTCAAGATGGAGACCTAGGTACTTGACTGATGTGTCCGAGAGGATTATTTTGTCATTGAAGTTAACGGGGGGGAATGTTTTTTGGGCTGAGGGTAAAGGTAATATGGGTGGATTTGCTTTCATTCATTTTTATTCTCCATAAGTTATACCAGTTTTGTTAATTAGTTAGATCGTATTGGAGGTTATTTATGGCGAAGTCTAAGTTAGTGCTGGATGAGGTTATTACTGCATCGCCTACAAAAGGAGCTAAGTTAGTGTTAATTAATTGAGGTAGATCAGATTTTTATATATTGAACAAAGTAGGTGCGAGAATACTGTCTTGAGGGACGCCTGCTAATATAGAATGAATCATAGAAAATTCTTCTTCACATCGTACTACGAAGGAGCGGTTTGTGAAAAAGGATTTTAGGATGAGGTATAATGGAGTAGATAAAAAGAGGAGTATATAAAAGAGGCCTTCGTGCCAGATCCGATCAAAAGCCTGGGAAACGCCGAGAAATACACCGAAACAAAAATGATTTTGCTCGAGGGAGGAGGCAATGGTGTCTACTATTCTATGAATTTGATGAAGCGAAGAGTGATTATTTCTAAAACCGAATTGAGCGTAAGGAATAATATTTTTATCATTTACCAATGGAAAAAATTTTTTTCGGATAATTTTTTCAAGTTATTTTTTGGGAAAGTGGGGAGAAGGCTAATAGGTCTGTAGGAAGACGGAATATCGGATATCTTACCCAGTTTTTTAATGAGAATGATGACTGAATGCTTCCAAGTGGAAGGGATATATGATAGACGGGGTATGCCATTATAGATATACGTAAGAAGTAGGATTGCTTTTTTCAGTACTTTCTTTGTAATAGTATTTGTTATAAGGTCATGGCCAGGTGATTTATTATCTCGCAGTTTCCTAATAATGTTTAGAACTTCAGAAAGGGAGGTATATTTTGTAGGAAGACACATTGGTAAGGTGTTGATTAAAGAAGGTTTCAACATGATGGCAGTGTTCTGAATTTAATATGTCTGTATGAGGCGTAAATCTACTCCCGAGATAAGTTGCGAAAAAATTTGCTTTCTAAGTTTCATGAAGCTAAGGATCTGTCTGGGTATTGTAGATGAGGTGTTTTGTTTTTTTCTTCTAGAATATTTTTGTTGATTACTACAGTTATCTGAGACGGAAAGAAATTTTAGATACTGTAGGTATTTTTCAGAGTTGTAGTTTCGAAGTACATTTTTTAGGGAGCAAGTGAGAGTATTATAACATTTTTTTTTGTCACAAGACAAGCGCGTTCTTTGTTATCTACAACGGACCCTGCGTTTTTCTGAGATTAGTTGTGTTATGTGAAGAGGTAAAACTATAGTGGTTTTAGGGGTATTAAGGATAATTTGGGAAGAATTTCGTGATGTGTTTTGAAGGACCATTGTAAAAGATTGAATTGCATTTTCCAAATCTGAAGGTGGTTTTAAATGGATACTTAGTAAAATGAGGTCATCTACAGTTTGGCTAAATTTTTTCCAGCTGGTTTTCCCTGGAGTAAATGTATGATGAAAATCATTTAAGGTTAGGAGTAAAAGTGTGGTCGAAGCTAGGTCCGAGAGATTTGAGATGGAGAGATTTATATGACCGGGAAAAGAAGTTATGAAAAAATCTAGAACATCAGGTTGTCTATTGGTATGGCCAATATGTAGGGTTAAATGGGGAAATGATTTTTAAGTTGTGATTGAGTAAAAAATTATTAAGTACCCGACCTCTAGTATTAGGTAAAATAAAGCTCCACCGGAGATGTTTGAGTTAAAGTCACCGCCAGTTAAAAATTTGTTGCCGAGGGAGGTAAAGAAGCGCGAGAGCTCGTCCGTAATTATTTTAGTGCCAGAGCAAAAGTAGGCCAAGGAAATAGTAGTAGGAATATGGTTTAGGATCAGAGCAATGTTTGTAACTTGTATACAATTATCTTGGAACGAAGGAAGTATTGTGTGCTTGATATAGGGTTTTATTAGTATTGCTGGGCCTAACCATCAGGATTACAGTGGTATATTAGATAGCCAGGTAATTTAAAAGAGCAGTTTGGTGTTAGGTGGGTTTCATTAATATAATGCAAATCAATTGAATTTAGTAGGAGGAATGCTGAGAGTTTATTTTTATGGTGGAATAAGCCATTTGCGTTCCATAAAAAAATTGAGATCAGGTGGTGGATAGTATTTTGTCTATTCACCATTGTTAAGTTAAATTAACTTTTCTATTAGAGAAGTGAGCAAAGAGATTAAAGTATTCATAGTTGCTTGGAGACTATTAAGAAAGGAAGCCATCTGGTGAGCTAGGTTGTCGGTGTTCGAGATATCAAAAGGGAGAATAGGCTGGTTAGGGTGGACGTTTTTAGTTGCTTTGGTATAAGATTTTTTTGGAAAGTTCAAATTGGAGGGGTGTTTATATTAATAGGTATTACATTGGTTTCGGTATGGGTGAGATTATATTGAGCTGAGTAAGACTTCTTAGAATTGTGTAAGGCTTGGATTTTTTTGTAGGCTGGGCAGTTTCTGTAGTTAGGCGAGTGATCAACGCTAAAAAATGCGCATTTGGCTGGTGAACTTGCTGGTTTTAATTAGATATCCGGGATATGGGGATTTCCGCAGCGAACGCTATTTGAGGCATGATTACAGTAGGGTTTGGTGTGGCCAAAATCTTGGCGTCGGAGACATTGAATTGGTTGATGATTAGCTCGGGGTTCTTCAATTTTTATTTTTGAATAGAATAAGTGATCGATATTAAATACATCTCTATTATTGATGTTGGGCTCTAAGTCAATGAAAAATAACGGCAGGGGTTGTTAAGTGATGCACTGTAACACATTTGTTATATTACGTGACGTATGCTCGAAAGCTGTGAGTTCATTTTTTATTTCCGAAATTGAAGTTGAGTGATGTAGGTTTCTAATAACGACTCTGAAGGCTCTGTCTTCTTTGAGTTGGTACGTATGAAAGTCGACTTTTTTTCGAACCATTTTTTCGGTTTTAATCTAACCGGGTTAGAGAAAATTAAGAAACGATTTTAAGACACGAATTTTTTTAGTTTTATTTATTGGTTTTAGTTCTGGTGATATTGGAAGCGGGATTACACGTTTTTTTTTCAGTCGGAGTGGTCCAGCTATCCTCAAGATCAGAATGAGCAGATTGGTTTGGTGATTTATTTGGCACGCTCTGTATACGTGTTTTTTTAATAATTAAAGGAGAAATGACGGTTTTAGGTTTGTATGAAGCCATAGTGCACTTAAAGTGATTTGAATATAGTGCTTATTGCGCATAGATAAGACGTGCACCACACGGCGCACGACAACCGGTCCGGAGCAACTGTGGGGCGTCCACCGTAGAGAAGATAACAATGAATCTAGTAATTATTTTTTTACGTTACTAAATTTTGGAGAGATTCAAATGCAACTAACGTTAAGGTAACCGATTTTATTGGCATAGCTTCCTTTTTTTTACATGTACGTCTTTGAATGGAGAAAATCGATGCAGTAAAAGTAAAACAAAAGAAAAAACTTGAAACGGAGTAGTAGCGAACGATGTTTTATGGACAACGGTCAACATGAGAGTGAAACAATTTAACACTGAAGTTAGAACTTTAATAATTCTAATATCTTTTTAAAATTATTTTACTAAACTATAGACCCTCCAATATGCAACCAATATGCAAATTTAAACATTTTCGTATTATCATTCTATAAATTTAAAGCTCATAAACACTAACTTAACAATTTATTTTCTGTAGAAATTTATTCATTTAAAATTAAAACTTCAAAAATTGTCATATATTTTAAATCAATCTTTACAAATCGATGACCCTCTTCCTTTATGAAAATGTGATAATAAGTTGTCATATTATCATTCAACAAATTTAAATTTCTTAACAACACCTACTTAATAATCTACTGATTAAGCAGGGATTAATTTATTTGTATATATGACTAAAAGTATAAATAAGATTTATTATTCATATTTCTTATTTTACCTTGCTAAATTAATTCTGGCTTTTTGTCCACCACTAAGAGAAACACCTCTTTCTCCCACAATTGTTCTATCGCTGTAAGGAAATTGTTCAAGATCGGTTTTTAATGCACATACATTTATAATCTAGTTTGTGACACAGTAAAAACAAAATAATATATTATAATTAATATTATGGTTCGGAACATTTAAAGAAAAAATGTTAGCTACTTTTTTATAACGTTCTTTGTCCATAGGCAAACCAAATAGAATATTTTGCTGAACTGAACCAGCAAATAACCATGGTTCTTGTGATGCGTATGATACAACACCACGCACAGAAATGTTCCCTTCAGAGAGAGGTAATTCTCTTAATATTGCTTGTATTAATGAACTCTATAATAAAATGGTAATAATAATTAATAATTCAAATAATGTTTCATAGAAATATTTACTTTTCCAGCTCCGACAGGTCCGATAATCGCGACTAATCGACCAGGCCTGACAGTTAGATTGATGTTTTCTAAAGAATTTTCAGTTTGAATATCGGTCCATTTAGCTGTAGCATTGGAAATAAATATTCCTAAATCACTCAAGTTTTCAGATTTATCTAGATTATCAAGTTTATTAAGTGACACCTCGTCATTAATAATATTTAGTTTTTTAACACCATTTGAAGCCTTGTCAGCTTTTGAACGATTGGCTACTTGACTATTCTTTTCTTCGTACAATAGAAAATTCTACAAAAAAAAAATCTAATATATTTCTATTTGTAATTACCATAATAAACCCTCAAAATCTAATTACATGTATGATAGATATTGATTGTATAATAGTATTTATATATTTTTTTCCAATTATTTCAAATCTATAAAAAAAAAGTGCGTGAAACGTATCCCTGTTAAAGAAAACAAATAGTATTCTGAAATACATTGTTTGACCATCGTTCACTTATCCGCAAAAGGCGTATACGTTATTAACATATGCTAGCCAAATTGAAAACTTTGATACAGTTCTATATTATATATGTACACCCCACAATCACCACCGTCACCATTTTTTTCGTATACAGGCCTGCATGCTATCTAATACATTTTCATTGGTACTGTGCCCTACATCGTGGTCAACCTTTTTTATTTTTTTAGCAGCTCAGAGGCTGGTTGACAGCAATTCTCCAATCTTGACGCTTTTTCGCTTTCCTTTTTAATTCATAATATAATCTACAGCCCATATTTCTTACTATTTGACTTATGTAATACAGTGGTGGTGAACTCTGCTATTTTTTCCCTCAAAATGGCACCTTCTATTATTCTTCTAAATAGACTGTTGTTTCAATTAAATTGGTTTTTTTTTATTTTTAATGTTCTCAGAAATCTTCTTAACTCTCTAACTATTATATAAGCTTCTTTATTTATTATATGTTCTGTTCAATTTATTCTAAGTTGCCTTTTGTAATTTTATGTCTCAAACTCTTAAAAGTATTTTTTCTTCTGTTTACTTTATAGTCCATGTTTCACTACCATACAGTGCCATGCTCGGAACGAAAGCCTTTAATAGATTTTTTTCTCACTCTTATGTCAGTACTTCTAAGTATAAGCATATTTTTCTTGCTTAGGAATGCACATTTAGTCTGGTTTATTTTTCTTATTATCTTTCTGTTATTACGGTCTTCGGTTATCGTACTTCCTAGATATCATTAATTTACTTACTGTATTGATTCACCATCTAGTGTTCATTTTAATCATCTTTTTTCAATTCTTTTCTCCTATTTTATAAACAATATTAAACATGTTATTCGAAACAGTCGTTTTCTGATGTTTGCCGATGATTTAAAAATATTTCTTGAAATCCGTTGTATAAATAATTGTCATCGATTACAGAGTGCTCTCGATGCACTAAATGCTTGGGCTATTTATATTGGTCTAGATTTTAATATCTCCAAGTGCCTTTTTAGGTCTTTTTACAAAATTTGTAGCCCAATCATATTTAGTTACACATTGTGTAATCTACCTCTCGCTCATTCCGGTGCAGCTGTCAGTGATCTTGGTATTATAATGGATCGAGCATTTACTTTTTATAAAAATATTGAAAAAACATGCTGCAAAGCTCTAAAAACACTTGACCCCATAAAAAGGGTTTCTACTGAATTTAAATTGTTAGCGCCACTTAAAGCTTTGTACTGTGCATTTGTAGGGTCAGTTCTTGAATATGATACTGTTATTTGGGACCCTTATACAGCTACTAGTAGGAGTCAAATTGAAAAGGTTCATCTAAGTTCCTAAGCTATGCTGAGTCCTTCACATTGAACATATACCTCATAATTATAAACCAGTCCGTACCCTCCTAGGATTATCGAACCTAACTGACAGGCGTACTGCAGTTAACAAGATATTCTTACAAAAACTCATAGATGGCTCTATTGACTGTCCTGAATTGCTAAGTCAACTTAACTTTAAAATCCCCAGTTTCCATTCACGGTCACTATCCTTTTTTCATACCACTTTGCACCACCAATTATATCCGTAATAAACTTATGTTCAGAATGATGCGCAGGATTCAGCCACCACATTTTAATTATATTATGTAATTACTTTTTACTATTATAATATATTATCTTATACCACTGTACTTTGGGCCACGGCCCGTTCTGTGTATAAATAAATAAATTTAGTTTGAGTTCGTTTGTTACGACTTGAAATGAAGAATTTAGTTTTTGCTTTATTTACTTTCATAATGTATTAATTTCTCATTGTTAATTTATTGTCAACACGGGTGAAATAGAACTTGAGTGGTGACTTGGAACACTACGACTTTTCTTTATTGAATTTGATAGAACTTTGAGAGTTTTGATTACACATCGTTTATCTTTTCATGATATTTTATTTTGTTACATTTCCAATCAGAAACATTTTATCATATTTTTTGATATTTCTTATCATTAAACTGAAATTAATATTACAAACTGTTATTATAAAAATACTTTTTTCGTAGACCAAATTTAAATCACCAAATTCATACAGTTCGAGATAAAGAAATTGTTTAAATTATTTTTTATATAATATTTAGGTTACCTACTGACTTCTTTAGGTTATCATATGTACAATGATGTTTTTAAAAACCCTATTTGTGTTCCAAGTATCACAAAACGTACGGTAGGTTAAATGCTCTAAAATATTAAAAATTCCTTACTGTTTCATGTCACCCGAAACTCAAGGTGATTTGGAACATTCAATTTTTATTTATTTTTTAACCAAGTTATGGTTGAAATTTATTTTTTTTATGCAAATTTAGTCATTTATACTGCGCGCCTATATTAGATTTTTTTCAGATTTAAAAAATTAATATTCAAGGTGTAGGAGCCTGGGAAAATTCAAAATCGTGTTCATTTCACCCTTGTTAACGGTAATTATTTCTAAGATATTCTAAAAATCCACTTTATTGTCTGTTATTACCGCAATGTCATCTGATAATTATAACAAATATATATATATACATACAGTAAAACCTCTATAAGACGGAACTTTGGTAAGACTGAAACCCCGGTATTATGGAACATTTTTTTGGTCCCGTTTCAAATTACATATAATTTTATCCCGCCAAAACGGAAATCTCATCAAGTCGGAAATGGACATGTTTTTGTAATAAAAGTTGATAAAAATCCTCGCTAAGACGAATATATAACATGATTAATTGTTTAAAAAATTAATGTGTTCAAAACTGTTTCCGTAAAGCTGGATTCTTTATTGACAGATCGGACGTGAATTCCAATGAGTGCCCTGACTGAAACTCAAGATATCCTTGTTCAACTTGATTTTAACTTGGAAGAATTTCTTCATATTGATGGCCAATTTGAGACGCAGCAAATCATGATTCTGCTACCTCGAGGAAATACAAACATTTTTTTTCACAGTGTCCAATAGTGAATTTTTGAATTTGACTTTGAGAGCTAAGGAGTGTGTGGAACGCGACGCCTTACGAAACAAAAAGTAAAAATCAATAACCGATTTTTTTCAAAAAATATAATTGTTATTAATGTATAATAGCTAAAAGTAAATATGTAATAAAAAAATATAAATACATAAGTACATATAAATATGAAATCAAGTTAAAAATATAAATTGTATGAATTATGTATAAACTGGTTAAAAATAAATATGTAATCTTTATTTTAATTCAATTTAATTTTTTTGAATCCCGTCAAAACAAAAACCCCATTAACTCGGAAAAATGTCATGGTCCTAAGTGATTCCGTCTTATCGAGGTTTTACTGTGTATATATATGCATATTATTCACTTTCCCCTTGACCCATAATATTTATAGCATGTTTCAGAAAAGAACTTACAACTTTCACGAACGGTTTTGGTTCGGCGGTGCGTACCCCCATCAAGCTTTGCCGGTCGCGACGAACGTGTTACCGTCCTTAGCATGTTCTAAGCGTCACCGTAAAGTATCATTTTTCGTACATAAGTTTATCAATTTACAATATAAATAATAACTTATGGTATGCGTGTTAATTCGTGGTTTTAATCTAAATCTAACAGTTGTATCTACGCAGTCGTAACGCACGGACGTGTTATTGAGTTCACTGTTTAATTAATTCTATTATAAAATTTTCTTTAATTAACCTATCTAAATAGTGTTCTCGTATGTCGTCGTTTTCGGGTGGCACTAACCATGCCGGCCAAACTTCTACAAACAAAATCAAGACTACACACAGTAATATACCTACCCCTGGTTTTCAATTAGTCGGGAAAAATGGTAAATCACGCGAAAATTCTATTAATCCAGTCTCCCCAAACTTTCAACAATTAATTAATAATCATCCGCCGCCGTTTGATGTGTCTAATACGGCCTACGACTATAATCTCTTATCACCACACACGCAATCTATAAATACGACTAGCCCAATGGTACCGACCATAATGATTTCGATAACGGCCGCTCTAATGAGCACGATATCGGTACGGCTTCCTTACCATCAATGTCTAATAACAGCGATGTCTTATAAAAAAAACACGCTATCAGCATTCTACAACAATCTTTCCCGCCGGATTATATCGGTCCAGTAATAGTTCTCGCCGTAAGCTCTTATCCAAATACTAATCTAGGAAATCTGGCATCCTATTAGTGCCGCTAAATTTTTCACCAACAACTTCGTCGGTATTATTAATATTAAGCCCGCGGGTTGAAAAAAAAAATTAAAATTACCTTCGATACCATAACAAATGGTAATCTCTGCCTCAACTCAAGTATTCTAAATGACAATAATTATAAAACTATCATTCCTTCTACGCTTATTTTTTCATACGATATAATTAAATTAGACATCTCAGTCTCCGAAGATAACTTTTTTGAAAGTGTCCAATCTCCCGTTAACATACACGCATTCAATCGCATTATCGTAAAAAAAGAAAACAACATAGTTTCAACGCCTAGTTGAACTTAAATTCGTCGCCCCGAAAATTCCACCTGCTATCAACCTTTACAACATGATTTTCGAAGTCAATCCTAGTATTCGGTCCCCCGTCCTGCTATTGCTTGATTTTGTCTAGCGCTAGATATAAGTTCTGGTACATCAAGAAGCTGCTCTTTGCCTTTAAATGATATCACTATTGGTATTCCTATAGGCGGTCAATCATTTTTTTTCCGGATAGTGAGGGAAGAAGTTTACCATCCCATAATCTCAATTGTAACATATTATTCGATTCCGATACAACTATTAGGTAGAAAATATTATCTACTCGTATACAATGTATTATTATCTTAAAATGTGTGTTATTTATGAAACTATTGAGTAACGACAGTAAAATTTTAGCTTGACACTTTCAATTTACACAGTGTTTCGAAAATACAAATATTAAAAATGTATAAATTTTATAAGTTCTAAATAATAACAAATGTACAAAAATAATAATATAATAATAAAAAATTGATTTTTTTAAACAAATAAAATATTCAATATTACCTATATAATTTTTCTTATGAAATAATAAATAATAGATAATAATAGATTTATAAGATATTGTATAAACTGTATTATATTAAAACGTGTATTATTAATGAAACTCTTGAATTAACATAATAACATTTTAGATACATTAAATTTTTATACGTTAACCCGACTGTTACAATAGAACAGTCAATCCAATGAAATTTACGCTAATTAACTTTTTTTAAAAAAACAAATCCTTTATTAATTGTACATAAGATATTTTGTCGTATCATCGACCATTATTTTAATATATTTAAATAACTGTAAAAAATCGTTTTTTTAATTAAATAAAATATTCGATATTTTATCATTTTTCTTGGGAAATAATATATTTATGAGAAATTGTATAAATATGTTTTTTATTAAAAATATAAATATCTATAATATATGTTTTATACATTTTTAAGATAAATGCAATATTTTTTTGAATATAGTCAAAAAATGACAAAACAACCCTTCTTCACTAATATTCAACCCTCTTGGGGCACGTGAAAAGGGTGAGTAATCATGACCAAATTTAACCCGCATTACTTTCTTATAGTAATGAACAAAATGAGGGGGTGAGAAAAATTCGTAAGTTCTAAAATAAGGACCACCCTAATGTGGACCTTATATCAAATCTAGAAAAAAAAATTCAAAAATACAATTATTTTATAACAATCACTTTTTATGAAATAAGCAATAGGATAATGAAAGTAATGATTAGGAATATCTGTCTGGAACATTAGAAATTAAATGCTTTCTACACCTTGTGTATCGATAAATCTAGTTGCGTGATAAGAATTTTGAAAACAAATCTAAATTTACAGTATATTATATTTAAGTTATGCATGTCAAACACTCCTAGATAGTATAATATTTTGTTACAACTTGAGTTAAACTAGAACAATCATATCAGAAATACATTTAGATAATATATTCTAAATATATTGTAAAAAAAGTAAGAAATGATTATTAAATATTAAAACTAGTTTTTATTTTGTTATATAGTTTACATGATTTTTTATAACTCGAATAGATTTAATATTTTTAATGTAATACGGGTCAAAAAAATGTTTTATTTAAAATAATTCAAGAAATTCCGATGACATAATAATTTAGAACTTTTTTAAATAATTCTTAAAGAATAGTCAAGCTATAGTAAAACATTTCTTAGACATAGCGTACGCTCCACATACTCGTATTTAATTTCGTTGAAAACTATTAAATTCTTACCATAATACAGTTTCGATAATCAAAAGTAGAAATCCGCACAACATCAACTTCGCTCCAAACATTTTAAGTAAAGCTCTTAATAAACTAGGATGCCTTGATGACTCTTTTGCTTTAGCCAACTCTATTCTCCATTTCCTTAAAACAAATCGATTCAACATTTAATAAAAAATAAATTAAAGATAATATTTTTATTATAAATTTACTTTTCTAATTCATTCCCTAATAATGACGACGAATGCTCTTTAAGAGTTGAATACAAATCATTTATCTCTAAATCTCTCTTTTTTCCTGTTTGAAAGAGCTTTAATGTCCACCTAAATAATAATAATAATAAAAAAAAAAAAAAAAAATAATAAAAACAATATTTATTATTAAAAATGTTTTAGATCAAATTAATCTTTCCCTTTTGAGTGTGAACTTGAATAGGGTAATTGTTAGCAATTACACTATAAGCAGAACGAAGAAGCTTTTGGTTTTACTATGTGTATGTTTTTTATTGCAGTATGTTAACATGATTTCTATTAGAAAGATTTTTCAAACCAATATTTTTTTTTCTTCTGAAAGGAAATGTTTCCGGTTAGTGTATTGTAGAAGACTAAATTTATTCTAATAAAATCGCAAAAAGGTGTACAATTTTGTTAATAAAAATGTATAATAAATAATTAAATATGACTTTTAATTTCAATACATAGGGCTTGAAATTGGATAAAATATTCGTCATAACTTTTTCTTTACATTTAATGTAAAATTAAGATTTCTAGAATGTTTAAAAAATTGTTCAAATCATTAGAAAATCAATTGTTATTTATTCAATTATTTATATGAATTTTGGTTAAACGATATTAGTTATTTTTTTCCGAAAAATATTAAGTGTGTGTTATTAAAAACAAATATATATTAATATTCAACGGGTACATTAATTTAAATTAGGTACATAAGTGAAATTCACCTACATAAGTCATACGTTCCTGTATCTCAACTTATTCCTATGTGGCTGTGTTTCACCTGACTCTGTATAATGCTCGAACTCCCTTTATGTTACTCTTATTTTATCGAGTAACAACTAATATTTTTAAAATATTTGTGAGTTTTTTTCAATTATAGAGAACACGGATGGGAAATTCAATATTTACCGTTCAAGTGCACTTATTTAACACAAGATTTGTTATCAGGGAAAAAAATAATTTAAATATGGGACCAAAATTTAGGTGGTTAAAATCAATTTCACAGGAAGAGAAATAAATAAAAACTAATTCTGCTATATCAAAAAAATTCCTAGCTCCGATTAGAATACCAAATTTCTAATAAAAGGTCTGATATTTTTTTATAAGTAAAATAACTTTAAATTTAAACAAAATTAATTGTTAATTTCAAATATCAGGCTTAACTATTTATTACTAAAAAACATACATATGCTTATATATTTATTTTATACTTTTTTAATTAGGTACTCATACTTTGTCATAACTTACCCAAAGGTGAGGATTTCGAAAAAATTAGCATTAGCCCTAGGATGTGGAGGCCGCTCTTCTTTAAGATCTGCATTCATATTTATCCTAAAATAAAACCAAGTATTAAATATGACATGTTTCAATTCTTTAATATCACTTCCATCTCGATGATCAAATTTATAAATTATTTATTTAATAATACAAATATAATATCAATTTATTATTTTATTTTACAGATAAAAATTACGATATATTTTGTTAACCTTGATAGAATTCAGTTCGTAATTAATTTATAAATTAAGTAAATCAATCTGCTTTTCAAATAGACGATTTGAATACCTACATAATGAGTTCCAATCAGTGTTTAACTGCAACCATTCTCCCAAATGTGTTAAATCTGGTAACGAACATTTAAGCGAAAACTGTAAAAAAACCTCAGAATCAATGACCAATGTGCGCCCTCTATAGTGATGAACATACGGCCAACTTCAGAGGATGCCCTAAACACAAAAAATTCCAGCGATCAAATACTCTCAGCAAAAAACCAAATCCATCATTCAACAATCAACCAATACCACCAACTAATGTATCAATGTCTAATATCATCAGTCAAAATCAGAGTTAAAGTAATATAAACCATTTAAATAAATCATATGCACAAATCTCAAAAAATATCCCATATTTTAATCAATTCTCTTCTAATATCGATGATAACATATCACAAAAATTATGCTCCTTTCTTGATGATCTAAAATCTCTATAAACCCACTAATCTCCCTTCTAATGACGATTATTAACAAGTTGATTCTTAAAAATGACTAATTCATCCAAACTATCTCAACCAATTTGTATAGTTCTATAGAATGCAAATGGCGTAATCAAACATAAAAATGAACTTCATGAAAAAAATTTAAGCATTGCATTAATAACCAAAACGTAACTATTTAATAACAAAATATTTTCTATCCCTGATTATACTACGTATATAATCAAATATTCTTCACACACTTCATACACAACATTAATCTCACTGCCTTCAATCAACAAATATTTTAATAAAAATAAACCATATTTCAGTTACTGTAGCTTCAGTTTATTCCGAGGTTTATTCATAACCCAATAAAAAATTAACTTATCATAAATTCTCATCATTAATCAATTAATTTACTAATACATTTATAATGTTGGGGGGGGGGTAGTGACTTCAATGCTAAACACAATCTATGGGGCTCTTTTACAACGAATAATAGAAGCAGAACCTTACAAAAAATAAAATGTGTTTCCCCTACATACCCCACTCACTGGCCATCTGATCCAAAAAAGAACGCGAATTTACTTAACTTCTTTATTACTCATATACCTAGCCATATCTAATCTCAAATGGAAAACTCAAATATTCTATCTTCTGATTATTAATTTTAACAATAAATTATATTTTAATTACAATGAAAAAATATCCCTCCTTAACACCTGTACCCAAAAATTGGTATTTATTTAAACTTACACTGGAAACAAAAATTGACCTTTCGACATCTTTAAAATCTATCTCTGAAATTGACAATGCAGTAGAATCATTCACAAAAATTATCCAAAATTCAGCAACAGCGTCATCTCCAGAATCCAAAATCAGTAATTCAAAAAAAAAAAACCTTCTCCCCCACATTCAACAACTCCTTTCAAAAAAAAGACAAGCCCGAAACCGTTGGCAAAGTACAAGTATGCTCAGTGACAAAAAAGCATTAAATCAATCAACAAATTCCCTTAGAAATACTCTAAAAATATACAACTCAGATAAATATCAATCTTATGTTAAGTCTCTTTCAAACAATAAAAACTCAATCTAGATAGCCACAAAAAAAATTTAAAATACCGACAATCGATGCCCCCATTAAGGAACATCGCCAATACTCTTGCCATATCTAATAAAGATAAAGCCAATATATTAAGTTCATATTTAGAAAAAACTTTAAAACTCACCATGATATAAATTATATTGAACATTCCCTTACAATATAAAATATTAAAAATCAACCTCTTTCTATGTATTTCCCTGTTAAGCCCATTTCACCTTCTGAAATAATATTTACTATCAATAAATTACCAAACAAAAAAGCTCCAGGACATGACATGATAACCAACAGTATTCGTAAAGATCTATAAAAAAATTTAATAATATTCCTAACTCGCATTACAATACACATTACATACAATGTTGCTCTGGGGCTTTGGTACTTCTCCATATCCAAGAAGAAATCTACTATAATCCCAATTCTAAAACCAAACAAACATTCTATACCTTATACATCATATTGCCTTATTAGTCTACTCCCAAAATTTTCCAAGATTTTAAAAAAAAAATCATACTTAAAAGAATTAATTTAATTCTAACTCAAAATAATATTATTCCTAATACGCAATTTGGTTTTAAATATAAACACTTATATTATTATATAATCTTTTATTATAAAAATGTATTTTCTCATGTACCTATATAGGTACTAAGCGTAAATATAATTATATTTACCACGCGTGGTTCGAATTAACTTTCTACCAATTATATATGTATTTCGTATGTTGCTATGCGCGGGTTGTCAGGTCGAAGCGTACTGCGTATTTGCATAGCATGGTTTTATCCATAATCAAAAAATATATATATCTTTATATGTCTATGGTTATCTATAACCGTGCTGAGTAGTCACTAATCGACTGAACGTAATTTCCTCTTACATAGGCTTCTCACCGGTGAGTGATAATACTAGCGGAGCTAAACGTATTAATAAACGAATATCAAAAATAGTTTTGATAATATAAATCGTAATATTTGTTATAAAATTGATGTAAATAGAAATCCACATTCTACTAAAAATTATTTTAGACATTAGTTAGGATGAACGTTGAGTTCCCGTTCCAGTGAATAAATATAGTTGGGGTAAGCAAAAAAAAAAAAAAAATAAAAAAAATAGTATAAGAGCTTCATTTGATCTCTAGGGCTCCCTCTAGGACCAGCACTGTGTATAGATGTGTTGTGTGTAGGTCCTTAAGAACTATGGGAAAAAGGTAGGTAACTAAAAAAAAACCTTCGTGAAAAAGTAAGTCTCTGTATGAATATTTTTCTATTGCTAATTCTTAATTTTTAAACATATTTTTTTTCTTTAGTTTGTTGGTACTGGTCAAAAGCAGATTATCATCAATCTGTACAAGGATAAGGTCAAGCAGCAACTTGAAAACTCAGACAGGCCCAAATTGAGCTATAAACAAATGCTTGTCGAAATTTCAAAATCAAGTGGTATTGGACAACATACAATACAAACGACATTGGTCGAATATAAAAGAGAAGATACAGTTTCATCACCAAATAAGAAAAAATTTAGTCCTACAATACTTGAAAAAGTAGACAACTTCTCGAAGCATGCCATTAGACGAAAAATACATGATTTTTAGTTAAACAGTGAAGTACCGACAATTTCAAAAATGTTAGTTGAAAATGACACATTATCAAATATCAAACGTTCGTCGTTTCAAAAAATGCTGAAAGATTTGCAGTTTGTTTATATTGAAAAATCTCGTAATAGTGCGTTTATCGAAAGAGAGGACAGAATAATTTGGCGTGGATGATATTTGAATCAAATAAGAAAATACTGAGTTCAAAACAGACCAATATACTATTTGGACGAAACGTGGATAAACGCAGGTGAAACGCATAACAAAACATGGCACGACAACACGGTAAATTCACCGCGTGACGCATTCCTCACAGGCCTCACCGCGGAACAAAAGAAATCTTCGTGCAAAGGTAAGCGGTTTATTGTGTTAGTCATCGGATCAACTGACGGCTTCGTACCACTTTTGTGTCTCAAATCAAAAACCAACTCATCAGACTAACACGATGAATTGAACGGAAATAATTTCTTAGAATGGTTTAAAAAAATTCAGCCGTTACTCAAAGAAAATGCCGTGATTGTAATGGACAACGCCTCCGATCATTCCGTGAAGATCCAATTCCAGTGATGTCTTGGAAAAACAAGATATTATAAATTGGCTATAAATTAAAGGTAAGATCTTTACTTATTCAACAACAAATGGGACATTATTATCTCAAGTCAAAACTATAAAATCGCAAAATGACAAATACGAGTCTAGACGGGTACTCAAAACAACACAACAAAATCATATTAAGATTACTCCCATACCACTGCGAGCTGAATTCGATCGAGCTCGCATGGTCATCTGTTAAAAACTATTTCCAGACGCACAATAATACTTTTACATTAAAAGATAATAAAGAATTATTGGAAAGAGTTGTGGTATACATAACACTGGAAATGTGAGTGAATTTCGTTGGGCACATCATTAAGGAGGAAGAAAAATGTTGGAAAGTCGACAGCATAACCGATGATTTTATGGACGAAAAAGAAAGACGTCATATCCAAATGATAGATGATACAAGTTCAGATTCTGACTCCGATTGATTTCTTCGTATTTTAATATTATTTGTATTATACGTGTACGATATTATTATGCGTAGTATAATTGTATGTTGTACAAATTGATAATGTTATTAATGAATAAACGAATTTATAAAATATTTATATTACATTTATATTATTTATTGTATACCATGTGTAACAGTCGTCATGTGTTGTTATTTTCTTTTTGATTCGCTGTATACAGACACTTATTACTGCTCGGCATCGGCGGCCGTTTAATTAATTAACGATCGCCGAGTATTAAGTGGGGGAATTACAGCGGTGAATGGTTACGAAAACACGGAGCTCTATCAATTAGATGCGCGAAGGAGTAGTGTCCGGTGGTCCGACTATAGAAATAATGTAAACATTGTATAAAATAGTAACTATTGTTGCTGTATATTGTAAGAACAAATAAATAAATAAATTACTCACAGCAACACGTAAGTACATCTAAAATAGTAATAAATATGAGAATCGGTCCTTCTGGTCTAAAAATAAATAATACAAATTGGCCCTTTTGGCACAACAATAAATAATAAGAATGTAAATAAATAAAAAATGTACAAAACTCACAATTTAATGTAGAGTAGACTGGCCAGCTACACACCTATACCTAAATAATAAAATCTAAATAAATGTACACAGTACATACAAATTAATAAGATAAACTGACGGTGATTAGCGCACGTAAAATATAAAAGTATAAAAATTATAAAATAAAATTTCGGCGATTCGCACTCACAAAATTATTATTCTTTCCAGTGGTAGTTTATGCGAAACAAAGATAAAAAATCCATATAAAAATTACAATGATACACATATAAAGACATCTTGGTAACATAACACACAATAAACGGACAACGATTAACACATTTTAAAATAAGATTGTGATTACGTGTGCGTGTGAGTGTGGCGGCAGGTGAGACGGGTACATTGTATAGAGCAAAGAATATATAGAGATAAATAAACAATACTGGAGCGCACTCTTACCAATATTATCGGTGAGACGAAAACGAGCCATGCCTTGAACGTTATCCCCACCTCTGCAAGGCAAAAAAAATAGCGGCACAATTGCGAATGTACTAGAGAATATAAACGGCTCATAACAACTTGAGTAATTCTACTCATCCGATTTTAAAAATTAAAAACTATTTGAATTTGTGAACAAGCCTACTCCACAGCGATATAGTTTTAAACAGAAAAAAATCAATGCAAGTAGAAGATAATATTTATACCATTTAAATTTAAAAACGACAAAACATAATATAATATTCTTATAAAATTTACATTTTAAAATTAAAACAAATTTAAATTTAAATTTTAAAGATTTTGAAATAGTATTAATTTAATAAATGTTTGTACCAAAGAACTTTTATTTTTAAATACTTCCTTTGCTTTAACTTTTTTAGCATAATAACGCGTTCTAATATTTATGTAGCTGTCACTAAAAGCAAAGAACAAATTATGCTCATGACTAGAAGAACCGAGGTAAACATTTATAGGATGAGTATTAGGGAAAAAGAATAAATTTGACTTATTTAATGTATTTTTCCTTGCTGACATTAAAATATTAGTTTTTACATTTGCATGTAGTTTTTTTTTTCATTACTGCAATAAGTTGAAATGATTTTTCCAATTCGTTAAGAATTAATGAAACACCAGGAGAAACTATTTTTAATTTTCCTCTTGTAACAAAAGAAGTAAAATTTATATTTTTGTATAGTCTGACCGTCCATCAATTAGTATATCAATAGAAATATATATATATTATACAGTATGTAAACTGATTGGAAAGTTAATAGCTGTATATATAATACTATACATCAAATATTACTAGTATATGGTCTGTATATTATAAATTATATGTAGTGTAGATATTTTTTAACAAAATATTAAATTTTTGAAAATAAACTATCCTTTTTTGAATCGATTTTGAAGTAGTAGACGACTAGCTTTTTATTTTTTTTGTAAATACTGAGAAAATTTAAAAATTGTTGGTACTGCTTCATCTTTTAGCAACTTTTTATCTAATTCTGGACAAAATTCATCACAAATAATTACTAGGAGTGAAATATTTACTACATGAATAGCTATACTGGTTGGGTGTTAAATTTTTTCGTCGTAATTCATGTAACCATTTTTTTAAAACCTATGGTCTATTTAGAGCAGCGGTTCTCAACCGGGATGATATGTTAACCAATGGTGACATGGACGTAGTGTAGGGGTGACATTTTCTCCACAAGAAAAAGAAAAAAAATTAGAAAATTATTAATTTTTTAAAATTATATTATTACCACAACTGTCATGTAAATAACAAAACTTTAAGTTTGTAACTTTATATTATTTATATTTATTATTTAGATCCGATAAATGCGTGCAGTATTATTATTAATGCGAAATCGCTGCATTATCCATTATTTTATCGATTTAACCGGGGTTGCTTCTCAGTTTTGCAGTCGCTAGATATGTAGTATTATAGCTCTACAACTCTAGAATACAATATGAGACTAGGTCTTTCCACCATCAGCCCTCGAATTCCTCAACTTTGTAAAAACCACTAGGGCCCAATTTCTCATCAGTTTTTATACAAATCATTAAATTTGTTCTCTTTTTCTTTTTTAATTTGCAAATTTAAACTGAAAAGTGTCAATATTTATTGAACCCTTCAACTCAATTAATTGTACGTGTACTTATTATTTTTCTGTGTACCGTATTTTTTTATTTTTTTTTTGTTATTTCAAGATTTATTCTAAAATAAACAGTTAAGATTATTTATTATTTTGATGTTAGGGCGACGCGGTATTTGATTCTAGTGACTAAATGTAACATGAATGAAAAAAGGTTGAGAACCACTAGCTTAGAGGGTATCTAGAATTATAGTGTATTTATTGAAAATGATGAAACGAGATTTTCTTATTTGAATGAAATATGCATTGCACTTACCGATGGAAATGTATACCGTTTTCTTTTTGTCGCTTATTTGTACACCCATACACTGAACACTATACAACTATATTTATAAAAATGATGAGTTTTAATTTTTAAGGTACCTATATTTTATAGATTTATATATATACTAGCTGACCCGACAAACGGTATTTTGACATATAAATTATTTCTAGAGAATATTTTGCTAGAAAAAAATAACTAATTTAATATAAGTGTGTAAGGATGTGGTATATAAGTGGAAGGGGAGGGAGTGCTGTGAACAGAAATATAAAAATGATAAAACATCAAACATTTATTTTTTTAATAATTTATTAAAATTGATTCTTTAAAATTATATATATCGCTAATTATGACAATATTAGTAAAAAACAAAATCAATCCCTTAATGCAACAGAGTGCACAATATTTTTTGTTATCCCATCTTTCGCCAACACAAACAAACTGGATGGTTCAAGAGCACGCCACGCATAATTGTTCATGTGAAAAACACGGATTTATTATACTATTATATTATACTATATATTTATTTATTTATGTATTATTATAATAAATATTATTTATTAAATATATTATTTTCACCTCGGAATTCGCCATTTAAAATGATGGCTTCGATGACATTTTTAATTTTTTAATGACTAATCGCGTGCCGTTATACAACCGTGGTGGGTTCAAATTACGTAGCAAAATAACCGGAGATCCAACCTTCCATTGTAAATTATGCGGTGACATGCCTGGTATATCCAATGAGTTAAAAAACTCTCTTGGATAATTTACAGCTTCAGTAGCATCACAAATTGTATCAATAGATTTGTATGACACTAAGACTCCTGGTAACAAATGTTGTATCTTGAGATTCAATTCGTTGACGTCCATATTTTTTGCTACTAAAATTGCTTTTTCTGTCAGCCACTCATGATTTGTGTTTGTTCTGTGTACATTGGGCAATATCTGGTCAATAAGAGCATCTTGCGAATCAATAATTGTGCAGAAATCGGTCGGTAATTGTATGCATCCCGTTTCATCTATAGTAACTTTCCCATCACCGATATCTAACAATTATTTTGAGAATCTTCCGCACGCAGCTTTTTTTGATTGAATCGTAAGTATCGTAATCGTTCGCTCTCTATCTTTACATGCATTTCAACTATGAATTGTTGACAAAACTCACGACATTGTAGAATAACGTTGTCAGGATCGCATCTAATCATCAACCGATATGCATAATAATCATTTGAACTAACATTCTTATTTGTTTAATATTTATGCAATGCCTGTTATTTAATACCAAAAATAAAATTAATTTTAAATAATAATTAATTTAATTATTAAATAGTTTTTAATAGTTTCAATTAATAATTCATTTTCAATTGCGCAATTATTGACCGCAATTAAACTACGATTTATTAAACAATAGCACTTAGAAGTATAAAAAATAGATAAAAACCTAATTGCAGACCTACCAAATGTATATACAAAATTTCATTAAAATCGGTTAAGCCGTTTTGGAGGAGTATGGTAACAAACACTGTGACACGAGATTTATACAAATATATAGATAGATTAAAATAGAATCATAAGCATTAAGCAATTAAATACAATCTTAATTGAACTTGGACGAAATTCCGATGTTTACTGTTCAGCACAGAATAGTCATATTCACATAGCAGTATTGTGTTTTTTAACCTGCAGTGGTGGAGTAAGCGTTTAAAAACTTGGCTCGTTTTCAGTATCTCAGTACGCGCTGCAGTATTGTTTATCTATCTCGATGGATTCTACTAATGTCTTATAGTATTAATCAATACATGCAGGCCCTGACTAAGGGGGAGCAGAGGGGTCGTGTCCCCAGGGCCCACAATGTTATGGGGCCCCCCAGACAAAAATTAAGAATTCTAAATATCAATGTCACAAAAATTAAGTTATTAAAAAAATTATATCATATAATATTAAATAATTAAGTATGTTTTTGTGGTATGTACAGTATTTCACTATTATCACAGAATAAAGAAATTACAGATATTACAGTGTGTATTTATATTCTCGATGGTTGAGTTTGATTAGCGATAAGATATATCAATAGTTTTGTTATTAATTTATTATGAATTCGAGTTATTATTAAATATAATCTATTTATATTTTATCGGTACGTCTTACAAGTGTTGTATTTTTGTTATGTATTTGTTAGTTGTTCTATCAAACGACAAGAGTACGCATAGTTCATAGATATTAGACACATCAACATTTAACTATCTGTACGGACAATACGAATTATTTTATTTTATATTTTTTAATTTGTATTATTTCATAATGAATGAAAAAAAAATATATGAGTGGATATCAAAAAAAGAAACTAAAAGAAAAAAAAATCAATTGACTGCTGCATTGCCAAAGATTACTGTATATTTTAATAGTGATAATTGTAATTTATTACCAAGTAAGTTATAATTTAAATTATTAAGCAATATCTATAATATAATTTTAATAATATTAATTATAAATGTATAGTATAGTACAGTGTTGATTTTCTAGTCTTTTTTATTTACCTATATAAAATGTACTATTCATAGTTTAAACAATTTTCAGTTTATAATAAAATTGATTCAACCGTTGCAAATGAGGCAGAATTACAAATACCTGTAAAATGTGATTCTACTCCTGAAAGTGTTGAATTGAATGATTATAATGTAAATTCATCTTCATATATTAATCCATTTACTGGCCAAGTGAAGTTCATAATAAATTCCTACAATTTTGTGTAGATAAAGGACCAGAATTCTTCTAAAATAAAAATAATAATTTTAATCAATCTGCCCGTTGTGATGTCAAATTATAATGTAACCTCATTATACAAATAATATCTATTTAAATATTGTAACAGAAAATATATTTAATTTACAAATAAAAATCACACAAGACATCTAACCAATAGAATGTTTGTACGAACACTGTCTAACGGTGAAAAATGAACTTTTATCGGGCTTGGGTCAGTTCTCTTCATTAATAAGA